ACATGTTGTTGTTCGAGCCAATCGGGGGGGGTTATCAAGGATGCTCTTTCATATGGCCCGAATAACCCTATGTTTCGTCCGTATAATAGTAGAGTGAATTTTGTTGGTCGGTGATAGAAAACGCCGTTTTCTATGAGCTATAGAAAAAAGTCACTCTACTATTATATGGACAAAGCATGGTGTTGTTCGGGCCATATGAAAGAGGATCCCTACAAATCCCATAATCGGCCCGAACAACACTATGTTTTGTCCTTACAATAGTGGAGAAAACCTTCCCTGATTCATTTTTATACCAAAATATCACATTTCATAACTCCCGCTAGAAGCAACTTGCGCCCGAACTAATTTGGGGTTTATCATTCCTAGCTATGCCCTACCTAACAATCATATTCCTGACCGAAAAGCTTTTTATCACCTCGGGTGGTTTCCTCGTTAGACTAAATTAATAACATTCTATTTAGGTGACTTCCAAGTTCTACCCTTGTCACAGGCTTCATAACCGTGGATTCAGAAAAGAAGAACACCTGAGAGACCATTAAGTTTATATCTTTGTCTTTCAAAAGGTTTAGTACTTTGACAGACTTGAAGACTTAGACAACTTTACCTGACAATATCACTCTGGAGCTAACAGTCATATACATTTGAGCATTTTCACTACCTTCATAGTACTCGCTTTAACAGACACGAGTACTGAAGAACTTTGATAAAATCAATGAGTTTATATTCAGGAGATTTATTCGTCCCCTTCTACTACGGACTCATATTCACCAATATGAAACTCAAATCAACATTAAGGAATTAGATTACAGGGTTAGCATCAGAGAACAGTTACGGATAAAGGAGTTGGGTCAGAGGTTACAATAACGGCATATAAAAACGAATTAGATACAGATTCAGAAAGAACATTAAGTGGATACATTTAGCGGATAAAATAAGAGAGTAGATATAGATCAAGGACTTCGATAAGGTTTAGAATAGGGACATAGAATAATGAGTTACATTGAGAGTTTAAAATGGGAGGATAGGCATAGATTTAAAGAGTTAGATGAATGAAATAGATATAAGGAGTTACAGTAAGGTGGCAGATATACATTAGTGAACCGTTTTATAGGTAACTGCCGGATACCTATAAAAGCCTTTCGAAGTCTCAAAAACTACTGCTGGATTTTTAGGATCTTCAGATTTTTTAATTGCTTTCGCGGGTTTTCATGAGCTATGAAACCTTTTCCCCGAAACCTTAAAGGATTGCATATAGTGGCAAACCCAAAAACCTTCCATAGGATTTCGAGGAAACGGATTTTTTCAGTATATTATAGTCTTTTTTAGTCTTATTTTTATAAGGGAAGAAAATAGGATCACAAGTTCAATGACTCAAAGACTCTTTAAAAATAGCGTTCTATCTATGTAAGTGTTTGTATATATAATAAAGCTTAATTAAAACAATAGGGCTCTGGAAGGCACGACATCTTGACCTGCTCTTTCAAACCGAAAATAAATTAAATGCATTTAAGAAGGGTTCACAGAGAATTCTTGCTTGCACGATCAAGAAAGTATAAGCTGAGAAAAGAAGAAAAAGATGTTGTTTTTCCTGAGAACAGCATATACGTGGGGCACTACAAAAGTTTTTTCACTAGCCTTTAGGATAAATATTCAGAGGAGGATTTTTATTTATTTTTCCAAAGTACTGTCCTTCAGTATCAATGCATTTATGCATTCGAATAAACCAGTCTTCGAAACAGTTTTTAAAGTCTTCTTTCGTAAGACTGTCAATGGCTTGTTGTAAAGCAGTTAACATTTCGTTGTCGTCGTTAAACCGAATACCACGTAACTGATTTTTGAGCTTCGGGAATAAGAAGAAGTCATAAGGACTTAAATCTGGAGAATATGGTGGATTTGGATACTGTTCTACATGATTTTCCAGCAAAAATTCGTTCGTAATCCAAGCTCGATGCGGCCTTGCATTATCGTCATGAAAGATGAGATCTCGTGTTTCTCTTCGTTCAGATACAGCTTTGAAGGCTTCTGGTAAGCATGTATTGACATACCAGCTTGCGTTCACTGTTGCACCTGTTTCTAATGGAACAGACTTAATTAAACCGGATTTCATGAAAAAAATAGCAACCATTCTTTTCCCGGCACTTTTGATTCGATGAATTTTGGTTGGACGTGGATCAGTTGTTGACATCCAAACTTTTGATTGTTCTTTTAATTCGGGATCATAATGGTAGAACCAAGATTCATTACCAGTTATAATGTAAAATACACAACGAGACTGACCTTCTTCAAATCTCTTTAGCGAATGGTGGCAAAATTGAATTCGTAGCTGTTTTTGGTCGTCGGTTAGTTTATGCGGTACCCACCGAGTACAAATTTTTCTTAGATTTAAATAATCATGAATAATCGAATTAATTGCTGTGGAACTGATACCCAATATGTTTTCTATTTGCTGATACGTCGAATGAGGATCATCTTCAATTATTTTTCGCACAACATCAATTGCTTGTTCATTAGCAGATGTTGAAGGACGACCTAAACGTGGAGCTTCTTGAACACTAAAATTATCGCGTTGAAATTCACGAAACCAATTGAAGACTGTGTGATCAGAACGTGCTTGCTCCCCCCCCCCCCCCCCCCCCCC